ATATGGCTAGAGAGCCGTGAGAAAGAGGAAACCATTACCTTGTTGGTTTCTTTAAGGATATGGGACTCAAAATGAGAAATCATTTAAAGACTTTAGGTAGGGAATAACATGATTAGACTAAACTTTAAAAAAAAATCACTTTATTTTCAATGTGAAAACTGAATCGGTAACGAGGCCAACATGGATCCAGAGAGACTTGCTAGGTGATGATTTTAATTCTTAAAAAGCAATAGCTGCAAGGTGGGAAAGGGTGAGAGCAGAGGGTGAGGGGGGTAGGGGTGAAACCACAGGGCTGCACAGTTTGGTGGGGGAGGGGGAAGGAAATGGGAGGATCTGGCTGGAACCTGTAAAGACAAGGTAATGATGGGCAAGGTCCAAAGGTGATTAATTTTATAAAAATAATGCATGGGAATGATTGTATGAAACACAGTATGAATAAAGAGCAATAGGAAACAAAATGTTTAGAAGCAATCCAATATAAAATTTTTTAAAAAAAGAGGGAAGGGGAAAAAAAGCCATAGCTGATGGAGACCTGTGTGAAGGTGATGGCCTATTCAAAGGTAGTGAAAACTGAGCAAGGTAAACAGAACAATGATGTTAGAGAGTGGAACAGTAAACATCCAGTGCTCATGGGTTAGAAATATGGAAGCCATTAAAATTGAAAGAGAAATGACCAGGCAAAGATGGCTTGGGTTTGAGTTCAGGAGAACTATTACATTTAAGTAAAAGGAAGGAAGAGTTAGCAAAAGAGACAGAGAAAGATTAGAGGGAGAAAATCTAGACAGGGTAATGTCACAAGTCAAGGGAGGAGAAGCCTTTTAATAAGTACAGTGCTTAACTGAGTCAGTTTTGCTGATAGCTGTGAACACAGAGTCACTCCTAATAGAACTAGTCACACACAGTCACTGGCACCCAGAGTAAAAAGTAATTTCAGAGGAAGGGTGTTATACGTTCAATCTCCCCAAAATGATTTGCTAACATTCTAACTCCTGATACCTGTGAATGTGACCTTGTTTAGAAACAGGGTCTTTGCAAATCAAGTTAAGAGTCAGAAGACCCACTGCAATTGAGACGGAAGTGACCCAGAGCTGACCCCATGTTCGGTTTCTGAGGCTGTAAATTACCTGAGAGGAGACTGCTCATCTTCTTCCTCTTGGTGGAGTCAAACCACTAAGAGGTATGGGAGCAGTTCTACGCCTTACAGACTATGCCACCAGAGTTCCCTAGGTCATTAGGGTGAGCTCTAACTCAGTATGACTTGGTACAGTTATAAAAGAGATACAGACACAGAAACAGGAAGATGGTCAGTCACATGGTAACAAAACTAGGGACTGGAGTAATGCACCTCCAAATTAAAGAACACCAAGGATTGCTGGCAATAGTAGAACACAAGAGAAAGGCACAGACAGCCTCTCCTACACCCTTCAGGAAGAGCAAGGCCCTGCTGACCAGCTGGACTGCAAGTTACCTAGTTTGTGGTAATTTATGTTAATTTGTTGTGACAGCCACAAGAAACTAATACAAAGGGTATATGAGCAGAAGTCAAATGAGAACAAGCTAAAGAGTATCTATAAGGTTAGCTGTAAAAAACAGGAAATAGTTCATTAGCTAGAGGAGAAAACAAGTCAAGAAAAGGATTTCTTTTAAATTTTTTTTAGGATTGAATTAAAGGTTAATGGGAAAGTCCAGTAGAGTGGAAGATGTTAAAAGCCAAAGGTGAGAAAAGGAGTAATTAAGAGCATATGAAGTTTTCTGAGAAAGAGGATTAAAAAAAATGCAGCGAGTGGGTAGGCTGGCCTATTACTCCACTGTAACTGGAGGAAAGGAGAGGACAGGTAAATATGTAAACTTGCAGATGTAGTACCAGGAAATTGTGGGGATTCCTGGTAGCTTTTAGTTTCTGAGATAAATTGGAGGCAAAGTTATCTGCCTAGAATGAAGGGACTAGAAACAGGGCAGGAAAGGTTTGAAAGCAGAGGAATTTTTAAACAAATGTTATTCAAAATGAGAGAGTAAACTCTTCAGATTTTTTATTTGTAAGACAAGAATAGTATGCCTGACCTCACAAAGTATTTGCAAGACTGAGAAAATACAGTTTACACATAATAGGTGCTCAGGAAAAAGGAATTATATTCCCCATCATAGATAATGTATGCCACGTGAGCCTTGCTCCTTTTTAATCTAATCCTCTCTCAACAGATGAAGAGCCTGACGCTCAGGAGAAGGAGGTGGAGAAGGTGGAGAGCCTTGCCAAGGCTAGAGAGAGCTGGTGACAGAACTGAAGCCAAATACTCCTCATGCTTAGACTCAGTTCAACAGATGTTTTTATAAGCATCTGTTGAAAGACTGAAGACAACAGCCATTTCTCAGGGCTAAGGGAAAGAAGAATCCATGCCTGCCACAGAGCAATCTGAATTGACTTCAGATACGGGTATTAAGGGATGTTTGGCAATCATTCACAATTTATTATCTGAATGAATTGCATTGGGAAAGTCAGTTGTGAGGGACCTTTCCAGAGTACTGAAGAGCAATGACATCAGTCTGGAAACTAAGGTGTGCCAGATCAAGGCCATAGTCTTCGCAATTGCTTGCTATGTGTCAGAGAGCTGAACAACGACTAGGGATGCTAGAAAGAGAACTGTGGTGCTGGAGAAGAGTGCTGAATATACCATAGACTGCTAGGAGAACAAACAGGTTTGTCCTGGAGAGGGTGAAACCGGCCTTGGAGGCATGGATTCTGAAGCTTCATCTGACATACTTTGGACATGTTACAAGAGGTCGCTGGAGAGGGACATCATATTTGGGAGTGTGGAGGGAGGTGCAAGAGAGAAAGACCCACAATGAAAGGGATCGATTCAGTAATTGGGGTAATGGGGGTAGGTGTGTCAGAGACAATAAGATTGGCACGGGATAGAGCAGGCAAAAGACTGCCATGGCTCAGGCTATTCTAGGTGCTTCACAGGAATTCACCTGATCCTTACAATAACTCTTAAGTCTGGTACTATTACAGCGAAGGTAACAAGATTTAGAGAGGTAAAATAACTTTCTCATGGATATGTAAGAAGTGAAAAGTAGATGAGAATTTGAGATCAAGGTTGTACGACTTCAAATCCCTAGATATTCCCAACACTTTTAAGTCAGATGACTGGACAGCTAGTCCTCCTCTGGTATTATCTGAGCCCTCAGAAAATCCATGAAGTAAATTTAGGGAACAGGATCTTACTTAGCAGTTAGAGGGAAGTGTGAGGTAGGATACATGGGCTAATGCATCATGAATAACATATTACTATCCTACACACCGCAGAAAAAGAAGACCCAGAAAGACGACTTATTTCACAATCTGTAGGCGTGGCTACTCGTGACATTTCTGGTGTACAAATGGAAACTACACTGACTGACTGTTGCAAACTTATGATCTCAGTCATTAGCTGGAAAAAAGAGATGTCACTCAGGGTCCCCTTGACTCAATTTAAGAAGTTAGTTATTTAAGGCTATACAAAGCTCTACATGAGAAGAAACAAAGCTGTTCTAAAAGGAGTGTAGAATATTGTAGAGTTGTGAAGAAGTGAAAGTGCTTGTAATACAATCATAAAGCCTCACGATTACATCTCTAGGAACCCTGAAGTTAATTAATCAGAGAGATCTCTCCAGGCTCTGAAGAGAATCATTCTTGAGATGTATGTGATGGGGACTAAGAGTTAAATGAGACGTAGTTCCAGAACTTGGGTGACGAGCACTGCTCCTGGCAGTGGGTGACAGAGGTGCTAGTGAAGGTTATACCTTATCATCCTCAGTGCATGCTATTAGTAAATGTGTGAAAAATGACTTTCCTGAATAAACATATGAATGACTTGGCCAACAAATGCATATAAGGCTGGAAGATTCTGGCTTCCTTGAACTGCTTTCCAAAAAAAGTGAAGAGATTCTGGGTCTTTATCAGGGATATTCCTGAAATTCAGGCTGTTTTGGCTCAAAGATTCAGATGATGTTGAGTAGAACAAGGGCCGCTTAATTAAGCCTCAGCAAAAAGAAGAGATTGCAGGAATTCCTAGCATTAGAAAGAACAAAAGAGGGAGGATAGTCCATCCCTTCATTTAATTCTACAGTCCTCCCTTTCACATCCCAAAACGGACTGATTTGTTGGCACCCTGAACCCTAGAAGAAGGTCCGTTGCCATGTAAGTTTCAGAAACATTTTTAATGGGAAATAACGAACGAACTGACTGCTGGTGATTCACTCACTACTATCACAAGTCATCCCAGCCCTTAGTGTAGATGTGGGAAATGACATACTGTTTGGTCTAACTTAAGGATCAGCAAAACCATATCCCTTTGAAAAGGACTCAGTTTAAGGAACAATCATTCTCAACGTCAACTATCCCTCTCTACCATAGAAAGTAGAATTTCAGTTTCCCAGTGTACTGAAAGTATTAAAATGTAATCCTTAATTTGGCCTTTAGGACGTTCTTTCTGATTCAGTCATTATTTCTTCTAGATATTTCTACCACATTATCATCCCTATAACCAACCTAGTTTCCTTTGTTTCTCAAAAGCACTCGCCTTTTCTCCCACTGCAGGACTCTTAACTTGCTCTTTTCTCTATCACGGTGGCCTTCCATCAGGTCTCTAATGCTGAGTATCATACTCTCTAACTTTCTCCCACAAAGCAGTTGCTGGTTCCAAGCTATCAACCTTGCAGTTAGCAGTCTAGTATATAACGTACTTTGACACCCAAGTACATAAAAGACATTAAGTATTAGCTTAATGAATGTTAATTACCTACTTTTAAAGGAGCTCTTTCCTAATATGACCCTAAAGTATTCCAATCTACAACTGAGATGTGGATTTCCAAGTTTTCAAGGCGTCTCCATTCATGTCATTCACAACTTAACAAATTCTATGTCTCATCATTTTTAGATCTTTCTCTCCTGTCATATATGATGCATCCTAAACTTTTTTTGAGATAGTAGGAGGTAGTATCAGGAGCCAAGGTGAACTCACCCCTATGGTAGATGCCATGTAGTCTGCACACATCTCTGCAAAGTCCCGCTCAAGAACTCCATAGTAGAGGCCATAAAAGAGGAGGGAAATGCCAAAGTCCATGGCATCTTCTGGCTTGATTCTGTAAGGGAGCAGAATGGTCAGCAAGGCCTGCTTTGAGACAGAAGTATTCTGATCACTACTCTGACACAAACAGGCAAGGCAGTCGGGGTAGGCAAACTACAGCCACATCTGACCTGCTGTCTGTTCACATATGGCTTCTGAGCACTGCTTGAGCAAGTGGGCACTCTAACTATGGAGACCATACTGAGACATCTGCTTCTGTACCAGGTACCACTTAGGTCCCTGTGAATGGCTCTCTGCTGGTGGCTTTGCCTCACAAGAACCCAGGGCTTGCACAGGTCACTTCTTGCACTCACTGGACTCCACTTCTGGCAACTGCTAGGCATCAAGCAAGAGAGTTTCAGTCTGGGCAACTCACCTCCAGTCAGCTGTCAAAGTTGAAATGGCTGAACCCCCAGGCGGGGAAGACAAGCTAGGATTTAAGCATTATTGGAGCCAAGAGTGCAAACGACCACAGTGGCTGCACACTTGTTAGACCCCTTCTTCTGACACTGCTTCCACCATGTCAACTGAGCACAAGTGCCCACCATCCAGGACAGCCTGCCTCAGGTGAACAAGGTAGGGCGGGGCAGGAATTTTCTCTCATTAAAGAAAGACAAATCCAAATTAGCTGCCATTGAGTCAATTCTCACTCATAGCTGCCCCGAGTATTTCAGAGAGAACTACGCTCCACAGGATTTTCAATGGCTATGATCTTTTAGAAGCAGACCACCAGGCCATTCTTATGAGGGGCATCTGGATGGATGTGACCTATAATCCTTTCAGTTAGTAGTATTAAAGCATATAAATGCCTAAATTTTTACCTTTTGACCCTCAATCTTAAAATATTATTTAGCCACATACAGAAAAATTTTCCAATCACAAATTTAGAAATTCTGATTAGTAAATGTTTACATAACAGTCCTATAAATTTTTAAGTTACATGTTCTTCAAGTTAATTTTTTATTTAAGTCTATTTACTGAAAATAAAGATCTTGGCTTTATATTAAAAGGTAACACCAAAAATCAATAAATTGCAACCTGGAGTCTAGAAAACTGTCTGCTAAAATATTTGTGTAAACTGTGCTTGTTCATTTAAAATTGTGTATTTAAAATGTTATGAGGTGCCATCGAGTTGATTTTTGCCTCACAGCAGCTCCATGTGACAAAGGAGAACTGCCCCCTCGGATTACCAGGATTACTGCCTTAAGGCAGAGGACTGCCAGGTCCTTCTCCTGCTAGTCACTAGGAGAGATGAATGAGCCACCAATCTCACAGTTAACAGACAAGCATGTAACAGTTTTGTCACCAGATCTCCTAATTTACCACAGAAAGGTGAATATGCTTGTAATATTTACAATATTAAAATTAATATAATATTACAAAATAAAAGAGTCTTGTAATATTTACCACTGACTAGACATTATTGCTCTTATACTAATTAACCTAATCAATGCATAACAATGATTAATAGTCTCAATTCTGTTTTCCTTTTTGTACAGTTTAGGCAAGTGGAAAAGAAATGGTAATTAAAAAAAAAGAAAAAAAAAGAAATGGTAATTATAGGACAGACTCTTTAAAACATAATGAGAACTCTTTATTTTAAAAAATTGCAACAAAACAACAAAAATCTCAGAGTTAGAAGATACAAGAAATATTTTGGTTTTCTTTGTTGAAATGTGTTAAGACTCTACACTGAAAAATTTCTCTAAATTTTTCTGGGACTTGTGTTATCTTTCAGCTTGAACTGCTCTTGGAAGACTTTCAAAGACATTCTCTCACTAAGGAAAGATGGATTTCTTTTTCATTGTCTTAAACTTAAAAAAAAAAGAAAAATTCCCATTTATAGTTAGGCTATGGGAAGCTGCCAGTGGTTATCCTATCTATGCACTTAAATGTGAATCCTAAACCCCTGAGAGCCTCACTGCATTCTCCCAGGCTGAAGATTCTTCTTCATTCACAACCAGGGCAACCATGATCTCAGCCAAGAAGCCACAATCCTTCTCTACTCTGTCTCACATAGTTACCAGACCTCAGTGCAGGAGCCTTAACTGGGGCTGAATAAATCTGAGACCAGTATAAAACTTTTGGAAATTTTTATGTCTATACGAAATGACAGTCAAAATCACACTCTTGGAAATGTACTTTTAAAAGGCAATTCAGCAGTATTATCTGTAAGAGTACTAAATTGAAAATAATCATGCCCAACAGAGAAACAGGACTTAAATGTCCATAGATTACTTTCTAGAACTGCTTCCATAAAGTCTGACAAAAGAAGAATGCCAAAAGTAATTCAAAGTAACAATATTTATAAAGACGATCTGTAATTAGTATCCTGGATTTACACTGAGATATCTATAAATGATCTCTAAACATCTGGTGGGAAGTAGTGGTGGGCTTCCTTGAATTGATGCATTTTTAAAGTGGTGTGCCTCTTGGGGGATATGGGACTTCTCAGTCAAGTGGCTCCCTCCAGCTGTTTAACAGCCTGAGGACTGCTGAAAAGACTCCTGCAGGCAATGCTCTACTACTGTTTCTTATCTAATATCCTCCTAGGGGAATCCACTGCCAGATTTGGCCATCTATGGTACAAGAGTCAACTGTTTAATCCAGGAGTTGACAATGTATTTTATTTCTGTAAAGATTCAGATTAAAAAAAAAAATTAACGTTTATAAGGCATATGATTTTTGTTACAACTATTCAATAGTTTTACTGTTAAAAATAGCCACAGAACAAGCAACAAATGCTGGCGAGGTTGTGGAGAAACTGGAACCCTTATTCACTGTTGGTGGGAATGTAAAGTGGTGCAACCACTGTGGAAGGCGGTATGGTGCTTTCTCAAAAAGTTGTAAATAGAGATACCATTTGACCCAGCAATTCCACTACTGGGAATATATCCCAAAGAGACCATAACTGACATCCAAGCAGATATATGCACACCCATGTTTATTGCAGCTCTGTTCACAATAGCAAGGAGTTGGAAACAACCCAGGTGCCCATCAACAAACGAATGGATAGAGAAGCTGTGGTATATTCACACAATGGAATACTATGCTGCATTGAAAAACAAGGAACTCATGCAATATTATTCAAAATGGGTGAGCCTGGAGGACATTATGCTGAGTGAAATATCTCAGTCGCAAAAGGACAAATATTACATGGTGCCACTGTTGTAAAATGGGACTGATATCAGGGTGGGGGTAAGACTGAGAAAAACTGGATAAATTGTGTATACTGCACTGAAACAACAGATGAGGGACTGAATAATTTAAAAGCGATGTATGATAGGGTATTATGGTTATCAAAAGAGTCCACAATTAAGGTTACATAGTGGAATGTACTTGGGGCGGTGGGAGGGGTGTGGGGGGATTGTGTACCAGGGAGGGAGTCTTTCTTTTACTTCTGAAAGAGAGGAGAGAACTGGGGGGCGAGGGGGAGAGGGCTGGGTGGGTAGAGAAGTGCAGCGATGAATGAATGGAAATCCAAATTCTCTGTAAATGTTCATTAAAATTATTAAAAAAATAATTTACATGGAAAAAAAAGAAAAAAATAGCCATAGAAAATAACACATCATTTAATGAGTACAGCCCTACTTCACTAACACTTTATTTAAAAACAGGTGGTAAGCTGGATAAGACTTGTAGATGTAGTTACCTAACCCTTGGTGTAGCTGAATCTAACACAACTCAGGCATTGTAGAAGCTGCAATAAACGGTACTCTCACAACCAAGGAAAACTGTCTTAGAGTGATATGGTGTGAGTGACTGGCTAGAATAATTTTTAATGCTTACTTTTTTTATTATTTTGTAATCTTTTTTCTATTAAGAAAATAAATTCTTAGGAAAGAAGTTATGTCTCATTAAGTCCTTCTCCTTCAACAAAAACAAAAGCAAAAGGTACTCACTTGAATAGTAAGTTAAGACCAAAGAGAGTAAACATGACAGCCATGTAGCCAATGATGCCAGTGGCATAGCTGATTTTATAGATCAGCAGGAACCACTTATAAACCAACCTGGAGGAAGGAAAGAAAGTTAGTTCACATAACACAGAAGCTCTGGCCACAAAGGCCCCTGGACCACTAGGATTCCTTTTTTTCCATGTCATATGGGGATAAGGCAATTTCAGTTACTATCCAAAGCTGTTTATCCCTTAAATTGCAGAAACATTTCCATATATTGGCACTTTACTTTTTCCTTTTTTTAAACCAGAGGAAGAACAGAGATCCCAAAAAGGCTTTAACTGCAAAAGAACAAGGAAGACCTAACAGATCTGTCATCTCAGTATATAGGACAAATTCAGGCGAGGGAGACAAGGAAGTAATATACAACTATCTCAAAAAGAAACAGGTGAGAAAGACCAGTTATTTTCGTAAGCAAAAATGTGTAAGAGGTAATCAGCTACAGGCTTTTGTACCTGACACTGGCTAGTCTGAATAAAGCTTTGTTCCTATCCACAGGCCAATATGGATTTGTTTCTGAAATGACTCCCCTCCCTCCGAGAGAACAGAATAGGAGAGGCAATCCAAAAATATTCTTTTAGTTGAACTGGGTATGTGTGTGTGTTGCTGGGGTGGAGGAAGGAGGGTGGGGAGCACACTGGTCAATGATCCTAAAGGAGCAGTAGTACATGCTAGAATCAAAGGATGAACTACTTAAGTTAATCCCCCGCTATGTTCAGAGAGGAGAAATGGCTCCCTGAAGGGCACAGAACCTTTTAGATTGACAGGGGAGTAGTAATACCCTGACGTTGACTTCTGGTGGTATAGTCCACAGGGAGCTGTGCTGCTAAACCAAAGACCATACCTCTCTGGGGGTTTAAATACACCAAAGGCTCTGATGGAGAAAGGCCACCTCCTCCTGTCCAATTTACAGCATCACAAACCTGCTGGAGCCTCAACTACGGATTGGTTCCAACTCAGTGACAATGAGAGATTCTGATATCATTATTTATATACTACTCTGTTTTAATGATCACTAATGAGAAATTTAGCCATGTGCATGAATAACCAAAATCAAATCTGCGTGGTCCCTGAGAACCAACCAGATTTCTGCCAACCATACTGGGCCCAATGGAGGAAATTCAAGGTCCTTGCATATATCTCCTTGCTGTGGCTAAACATAGATTGTAATGGCTTCATAGGTTATGGAAACATTCCAAACAATCTGTAGTGCTAACCTTTAATCAGAACACATACTTCATTATGCATAATTTACATGAGACACAGCGGAAAGGATGTGGCATGCAACTAGTCGGGTAATCCCAGGTAAGTCAGTCGTATCATCTTTTTGAGACAAATTTATTTATAAAACAGAAGAAAAAACATGCTAGCTTTCTTATAAAATCTGTTACCCAGTGTAAAATGCTGAATGGATCAATGATAGCATTTATGAGAATTACTGGCAATTTTTAAGCATTCTTCTTAGTTATTATTATAAAAATATTATAAATACATTTCAGCCATGTAATCTGCAGCCCTCAGGCCTGGTTTAAATTGGTTTTTGTCAAACATTCTTCTAAGTGGTATAGCACTGGTCTGTGCACTGCTGTACAGAGGTAACTAGTGGTTGCTGTGAGGCGAAACACTGTGATACTGATGTGCCAAATGAGAGAATGGTTACCCATGGTGGGCAGTGTTTGGTGGAACTCCCTGATTAAAACAAGCTTGGAAGCAGGAGTGGCATCCACTTCTGAAATGGCTTGCCTCTGGAAACTCTATGAACAGTGCTCAGGTCTTTTGTTCACAGGCTCACTATGAGTCGTCTACGACTCGACGGCACTTAACAATAACAACAACAGTCTAGAAGCTGACACTACCAGTCACTCTCAAGAGAAGAAGTGACTCTTCTTGGTGACTCTACTTGGGTTTTACTGTGCTTTTTCTTCGTCATCATCCTATATGAAGTGGCAATTATTACCCTATCTCTGAGAATATAAAGAATTGAAAACTCAGAAAAGTGAAATCACACAGATCATAGAGCCAGCAAGCAGGCAGCAGAGCTAGAGGTTCCGATCTACACTCATGTAACTCCAGAGTCTAAACTTTCAAGAATGGTCCTTCAAGTAAACTATTTTGTACAAAGAAATCTAGAAAGACTTGCAGTAAGGCAAAGGATAAGAGGCATGAAAAAGTGCAGTTTGCAACACAGGAAACTCTGGCTCTGGGGGTGATAACTTTGAGACTGGCTAGTTCCTCTGACAGGCTCTCTGCACCTATGCTTAACTCACTCATTCCACTTACCAACTGAACTGCTGTAACAGGTGCTTTCTCATCCATTTCCTCCATTAAACCGAGCACTCCTTGAGGGGAGAGACCAGGTCTTACCCAGCTCTGTATCCCCAGCACTCAGCACAGGGCCTAGCACATCATAGGTGCTTACTGAATGAATGAATGAACGAATGAGAAAGTATCCCTTTCTTTCGGTCAAATTCACTCACTCTTTATCGTCAAGTTAGAACTGACTTAAAGTTGATCCACTAGGTTTCTGAGGTTGTAAATTTTGCACAAGAGGAGACTGCCCATCTTTCTCCCAAGGAGCCACTGGTGGATATGATAACCTTTAAGGTTATCAGCATAACTCCCTAGAGACTATGCCACCAAAGCTACTTTTTCTGCCAAATACAGATGACCTCCCTTCACAAGCTGGCTGGGAGGCTCAAACAAAAATGTACTTGCATAAAACACAAAGAATGTTAAGGGTAAGGGCTGCTTTATGAGCCAAGAAAAAAACAACATTGTTTGTTGGAAAACTGTACATTTTCTGGGATTCATTCATTCAACAAAAATTTATAAAGTAGTGCTATGTGCCATTTAGGGACAATGTGACAATCTTTGTACCAGGACCTGGGCATATACCAACAACCAAGAGATATAATGGCACCTGATTTCATAATTATTTTAGTATGAGAGACACAGTAATACTTTGCTATGAATTGTGAAAGATAACTACTATGAGTATTTTAAGAAAAAATAGTAGAAAATTTAATTCAGAAATCAGAGAAAGGTTCGTAGAACAAATAACAAAACAAAATCACACTGATCTCAAGGACTGCTTGTTTGTTTGCCTCACATACAAGCAGATGTTTATAGAAACACTAAAACATTAATGCAAACTCTGGAGAAAGATTTTAGAGTTTTCAATACGTGAACAGAAAAGTGGTGGCTCTCCCAATCAGCTTGTTTGGAGGAGCTCCAGGCCAAATAATCTTCTAAAACAATAACCGCAGTTTCCTATCTAAATCACCCTCCTCCTTTCATGCATCTCATCCCATTAGTTTCAAGAAACCTAAGCACTTTCCATTATTTAAACTCTCACCTTGGGGTTGTCTGTACTAGAGGTTTTCTGGTGGCTCGGAAGGTCACAAAGGCAGTAATGGCAGAGAACACGATCCAGATGACTAGGAACCTCCACCAATGCAGCTTCACTGTGAAATAGAGGGGAACAACCCACATCTGAAAGAGGGTCACCATCTGAAACAAAAACACAAGTACTTCAGCTCTAGTTGGCTTCCTCTGCAGTCCTATCCACAAGTCCTGGACGAATCTTGTGTTTTCTCTTTTAGTTTGATCCCCAACTATTTGAATAAAGGTATCTCTACATACTGATAAAAATTAGAATCCTAGGACCACATTCAACTGTCTCTTGGTTGTATTCTTTCCATTTGAGCCCTCATTACCTTTGCTTGGATAACTACAGCAACCTCTTTGTTAGTCTCCTGGAATTCAGTGTCATTTTTCCCAATTCTTCCTTTCCAGAAGCATTAGAGCAGTATCTCTAATATGCAATCTTAAGCATGTCATTCCCATCCTTTCCTTTAGATGCAAAAGAAACAACTGAAAATACCAAGGCTTGAATCAGCCACCTCTTTGTCTTTAGTATGTCATACTCTCTAATGGACTCTACGGTACAACAGGCCCAAAGTGTGTGAGTTGACATTTCACCCTCCTTGCCTCTAAGGAGTATCCTTGTTGCACTTCCTCCAAGACAGATTTATTTGTTCTTTTGGCAGTTTGTGGGATAGTCAATACTCTTCTCCAACACCACAATTTAAAGGCATCAAGTCTTCTTGGTCTCCCTTATTCACTGTTCAACTTTCAGATACTTAAGAAACAACTGAAAATACCATGGCTTGGATCAGCCACATCTTCGTCTTTAAACTGACATCCTTGCTCTTTAGTACTTGAACAGGTCCTTCACAGCAGGATGACTCACAGCAGATAGGTTTCAGTGGAGCTTATAAGCAGGAATGGCCAACTACTAACAAAACAGGGCTTTGAACGACCTATGAATAATAGGAGTTTGTTTTCTGTCTTTTATTGCAGAGGAATCTTTTTTTCTCCCCTAGACAAGCAGCTTTATTTGATATAAGGAGTGCCAGTCCCCACCTCTAGTGTTCCTGACAGTGTCACCTGCAGGCCAGGGTTATCAGTGACCTGCAGAGAGAGGAAGGTCTGAGGGTGAATGGGGTGAGTGGCATACTGTGGACTGGGGTCCCAGGTACCTGTTGGGGCCTGGGTTTCAGCTGTCCACACCATGGCAGTGGGCAACGAGCTTAAAGCCCCTGATGGCTCTGGGTACTAACTCTCACCGTTGGCTATGGATGAAGTCACAGGTGATTTTCAGCCAGCGCCAACAAAGTAGCCTTTTTATAGGCTAGTCTGGCATAATACATGACTGAATATGAGATACTCAGGACAACAGAAGGAGCTCTGGTGCCATCTGGTGGCATCAGTTATAGAGACACAATTGGTTTAAATACTTGTGCCTGAAGCAGAAGGTGCGAATAATGGCTCATCTTGGTCCTGACCACAGGATGGTAAGACATAAACACATAAATTAAGACAGCCATGTAAAAAGTATGAAATAACAACACAAGAATTCAGAGGTGAGAGATAATACCGTGGGCAAGTTTCTTGGAAGCAGAGCCTGACTGCTTCTAAAGGAGGTTTAATTTAGCCAAGTGAACTGAAGAACAAAATTCATTCACCTTCTTTCACTCAATCAGCAAATAAGGTTTAAACGAAGACTAGGCCTGAGAAGAACTCAGTGATTCATTCAGACCTCTCCTTCTTTGTCCTTCATTTACTGAGGATCCCAGCTTTTCTGACTGACAGATAAAGAATGTCAACACCTAAATTTATCTCTCCACAAGGCCAAACAGCTGACATGATATCAGATTTTGACAGTAATTTTGTTGTTCTTGTTAGATGCCTTTGAGCTCAACTCATAATAACCCTTGAACAATAGATGTGAACCCTGTTCCTATCCTGCACCATCCTTATCATCTCTGACACACTTAAGCTCACTGCTGCACTATGCCAATCCATCTGGTTGAGGGTCTTCCTCTCTTTCATTGACCTTGTACCTTTCTAAGTATGATGTCCCTCTCCAAGGAACAGCCTCTTCCAGCAACATGACCAAAGTATATGAGACAGTATACTGTACTGCGGGACTGAAAAGGCAATCTTCCAGTAGTATCTAACACTAAGAGCTAACTGACATTTAGATGGGCTCACTTTTTAATTTTACTTATTTTTATTTGGAAGTTTAAAAATCATACTGATTTTTCGGGGAGCTCTGGTGGCCTAGTGGCAAGAAGCTGCACTGCAATCCCAGAGGCGCACGGTTCAAATCCACCAGATGCTCTGCCGAGGAAGGAGGGACAATCTCCTCCAGTACCAGTCAGATCTGATTTGACAGTACACGCACACACACAAATAATAATAAAAAAAAAATCATACTGATTTTTCGTTCAATCACACACATTTGTTTTATAATATTAATTAAAATTAATGTAGTTAATTATGTCTGGTCAATACCTTATTACATATTATTTGCCGTTCCCTTCACCCCTCTTAATTATTGATTTTAACTCCCCTCCCCTTCTCTTTCCTATCCCTGGTAACCACAAGGCTTCCCTTTTTAGTTGCACCTTCACTGGAAGGTGTGTCAAGAGAAATGGAATCAACACTTGACAATGAGCACTTCCAAACCAGGTGAAGGTGAGCTACATAACCTCTAGATCCCTTTCATCTCAAGAGAGCAGTGAAAAAAAAGTTTCCAGATTACTTCTTTCTCTGGGGCACCATCTGCCACGCTAATCTGGCCACGGTGCCACTTCTGACTTTTACTATTCTCTTTTACTCCTTTCTGCATCTTCCTATGTTGTGGGGATCACCCAAATATTTAGCTGAAAGCATTTTCGACAAAATGAAATCTACAAGTTCAGGTAGTAGAACAAAGTAAGAGACTCATTAACTAATAAGTAGAATTGCTCAAAAATGCTAGTTTTTTAAAAATGGCTAATGTCAACCATAGGGAGAGGTCTGTGATACATTTCATACTGTGGTCCATTATTTTCACAAGTGATGTGGATGAAAACATAAAAGACTTTAGTTACCAAACTGTGAACAACACAAAAAGCTGGGGAGAGAAGAGAGGCATGGGGCAGTGAACAAAGAACATATTGATAATGCTGTTTTTTGAGTTTTTCTAGCTCTAGCATTCCTTGAGCCAATAAACTGAAATAAAGAAATCAAACTCTATGACAAAATCTAATAGCCGAGGACAGGGTGGGGAAGAAGTGGCCTTATAGTAGCTCATATGAAGCAGATCTAGAAGTTTCAGTTAACCAAAAAATGCTAATGAGGCTGCTACCAAAAAGGCTAAGGTTAACACCAGGCAACTCTAAACCAAAAATAAATCCCACTGCTATCAAATTAAAACGGAATCATAGCTGACCCTCCATGAGATTCCTGAGGCTAGTGGTCACACAGGAGGAGACTGCCTATCTTTCTCCTGATGTGTGGCTGGTAGATTCAAACTACCAGAGAAGTGCAGCACTTGGCTCAGAAGTCCAACTCCCTATGGACTACGCCACCAGAGTTCCCTTAAGCTACTTGACTTTTTTTCCCCTTGGACTACTCTAAAAATATACTCAAGATGAAGAAATCAGCGGCGCTAATATCTGCTCTTATAAAGAATATCTGAGTCCCTGAGATCAGGTCTACTTATTGTTGGGTGCCCCTGATTCAAGTACCACCTACTGCGACTCCACAAACAACAGACCTGAACCTTGTCCTATTCTGTGCCATCCTCACAATCTCTGACATGCATAAGCCCATTGTTGTAGTCACTGTGTCAATTCATCTGGTTGAATGTCTTCCTCTTTTTCATTGTTGCTCCACCTTTCAAAGCATGATTTCACTCCCCAAGGTACAGCTTCTCCTAACAATATGCCCAAAGTATGTGAGACAAAGCTTTATCACTTGCCTCCAAAGACCACTCTGGCTCCTTCTCCAAGACATATCTGCTTGTTGTTCTGTCAGTTCATAGGACATTCAGTCCTCTTCTCCAACACCACAACTCAAAGGCACCAATTCTTCTGTCATCCTTAGTAACTGTCCAGCTTTCAAGTGCATAGTAAGTGATTGAAAAGACCATGACCTGAATTAGATGCACCTTACTTCTTAAACTATCACTGCTCCTCAGAAAAGGTCTCTAATTGCACATTATCCTAGTGCAATATGTTTCCTGATCTCCTGATTGCTGGTACCAAGTATTACTGATTGTGAATCCAAGTAAGATAAATTTGTTAACATTTTCAATCCTTTCTCCATCTATTATGATGTTGCCTATTGGTACAGCAGTGAGAATTTTTGTTTTCTTGATATTGAGATGCAATTCATATTGGAGGTTGCAATGTTTGATCTTCTGCAGCAAGCACTTCAAGTCCTCTTCACTTTCAGCAAGCAAGGTTGTATAATCTACATAATATATGTTGGGTTTTCTCCCATACTGTATGTTATTGATTGAGTCTTTCTCTCATCTTGATGCCACATTTTTCTTCAAAGTAGTCCAGGTTCTCAAATAATTTGCCCAGCATACAGACTAAATAGGTACGGAGAAAGGATACATCCGTGGCACACAACTTTTTTCATTTTTTTTGTGTGTGTGAGTGTACCATCAAATTGGATCTGACTGGTACAGGAGGAGATTGTCCCTCCTTCTCCAGCAGAGCATCTGGTGGATTCGAACCACGTACCTCTGGGATTGCAGTGCAGCTTCTTGCTACTAGGCCACCAAGAGCTCCCTATCTTTCTTAATTTTAACCATGTAAGACACAATGTACCCAAAATACTGACAAAGATGTATGGTTATTGAGACTGCCAGGATTACAAGGAGTCTGGAAATGAAATTACATATAGAAGAGCTAAGAACTCTGGGATACTAGACCTGGTAAAAACTTTGAGGAGTAACATAGATATTCCTTTAAGGTAGCTGATGAGTGTCAAGAGGCCCAGTGAACATACATTCTGTGTAGGTATGATTTGAAAAGACTTGGCACATTGTTGGAATACTCTACAGGGCAGAGGTTGCTGGCAATTCCCTTCTTCCATATCCCTGATTTCATGAGGCACGCCTCCTCATTGCTAATACATGTGCTAGACAGTTCTTTCTGATGCTGTAC